TGTTCCCGCTGTGGAGGTGGTGGTGACTCTCTCTCTCTCTCACGCGCGAGTGTGCACACGTGCCCGGTGTGACGACCTGGTGGCGACTCTCTCTCTCTCTCTCTCTCTCTCTCTGCCGCCCCCCCCCCTTTGCCCACTAATGCGTGCCGGTACCACCCTTGCTGCGCGCCACTCACACCTGATGAAGCGTGGCAAGTCATAACGGCTCTCTTTCTATGTGTGTGTGTGTGCGTGCTCGATAACGCCCGCCCGTACGACCCTCACTTTCTGTGTGTGTGTGTGTGGGTGGGTGTGGGTGTGTGTCGGCCGATAGCGAATGGGAGGGCAGGTGGCAAATTACGAAGCTTGCCTGGACCAGCCAACGGTCTGCACAACTCTGCACAGTGACAGCGGGAAGTAAGAAAGGGGCTGGTCCAACCGCCCTATGCGACGAATACTGGCCCCTAAAATCCACGAAACATTTTTTGGGGGGTGCCTTGGACCCAAGGAACAGGTCCAGGGTGCCTCCCTTTCTTTTTTTTGGGGGGGGCGGGGGGGTTGGCCCCTCCGGACGGGCCTCCTACGGTCCAACATCCAGACACTGGACCCCAGACTGTTTGCATCCGCGTTCGGATGTCTGCATGGTAGCCATGATCTGGACCGTATATTTAATTTTAGCTGTCGGGTGCCCCGCAGCGGAAGGTCCTTGTGAGGACACTAATTCAGATTGCATACCACGTGTAGCGTTGGGGTGAAGATGACGATGAGGTTGAGATAGAGACTAGGATGAGGGGAGGATTGCACGTGGACAGGCACTTTGTCGGCCAACCACTTGCTTGGTGTTAAAGACTAGGTGAGGAAAGGAGACAACGGAGAGCAGCTGAGGAGAGGTGGGTCTCGCAGAATGTACAGATGGCAGCAGCCAACGCAGTGATGGCACTTGCAGTTGTAGCAGCAACGCACGTCAGAGCCAAGGTCGAGGTTGCAAAGGCTACCGTTTTTGCAGAGTCCTAGGTCTCTTCCCAGGCCTCTTAGATAGGTGTTAGTCAAGGCATATCAGGGTGATACATGCCCAGTTGGGCAATCTATGTAGAGCCAAGGATCCACAATGTGACGAAAAGGACTGAATGGACAATGCAATGTCAGTTGAGCATCAACAAGCAATGTACACCCTGATACATACAAAATGGCACCGAGTAGCGCAACGGAAGACTTTAAGATAAGTCCTGACCTGACAGGGAATGACATGACATCCCATCATACATCACATATGTGAGAGGAGGAGGGACCGCACACGTGGAAGAAAGGTCCCTCCTTGTACACACACATGGGGAGGTACCACATACGAGAGATGGGAAGAGAGCGAGAGATGAGGATGGAGCTGGGTTGCAATAGTGAAGTTCAAAAATAGTCTCTTGCCGATGTCCAATCAATGTCTGTCTCAGAAACGTCTAATCTGATCCTGGGCTCTGTCGAGCGCATCGGTCCGGTACCACAAAGGGCAGTGCGGGACCCTCCCGGCCGCGTCACGCAGGAGTTGGTCTATCCTCGTCGCGAATATACATGGAGATTCCGCAAGCCGCTCCGGCCAAGTGCGCCAGCCTTACCTCCCGTGAGCCCCTACGACAGGATAGGGCCTACGCGAGGCACGACTTACCTTGACCTTACGGGAGTTGTCACCTCCCTTCGGTGGGCGTATCCCCGCCGAGCTACCAGTCCACAGTACGAAAGATAATCAGTTGCAGTCGCAGAGGTGGACCAGCCGAGGGCGTTTCTTGTTCGCTGAAGCATAGGGGGAAAGCGGCGTCCCACGCCTATATCGAACCCGCACTCGAACCGACATCTTGGGGGGCTGAGGTCACAAGCACGGCTCGTCGCCGGTCGACTAGGACGTATCCCACTCACCACGCATACTCCACACTACGAACACAAAAATAAAACACACACACACACATCAAACAACGCGACAACACTCCTAGTCCCTTCAGTTGCCATCCCATAACGTTCGAACGTCGAAATCAGATAGGCGACCGACGCGAGACTTAGTATAAAACCGCGCGGACGCAGGGCCTACTCATATCGACTTGCAATGCAATCATACACAAGTAGTCGCAATGA